TTGTTGGCCACTTTGGTGGCGTCGATAATATCAACGTTCGTGGAGTGCCAACCTTTTAGCCAGTAAGTACACTCTAAAAGTTATTTTAAAACATGCATCTTGCTAACATATTCTATAGTTATTGTAAGCTCGTCTCTAAATTTGATGGGAACTCATTTACTGAGTATGCTAACATTGCTCTAAAAATTTTCAGGGCAAGTTGTGCCAGATCCCGGACGTAAGTGGCCCAAGAATAGAGAACATTTAGAAACTATCGATACTAACGAAATTCATAGCGGAATGTCGAAATGGCGGGATCCCATTATATGTAACCGGAGTTCTCGACATTTTCACCGACTTTGTCCTAGTCATCTTCCCGATCCCAGCGATCGTTTACTCCAAAATGGCCAATAAGAGAAAGGTTCAACTGATCGCGCTTTTCTCACTTTCCTTCCTCCCAATATCTGTCGCCGCCGGACGTATTCCTGCTACGATAGACAGGGGCTACTCACAACCATTCCGTACTCTCATGGGGTCTCTCGAAATCCTTGCTGCAACATTTGCTTCCAACGCCTTAATTCTATCGAGCTTTCTCCGAGACAAAGGTCCAAAACGCGCCAAATTTAAGTCCAGCAGCGAGGCTGGAGAAAGCAGGGTTGGGAGAAGTATTGCCGCGACTACTAGAGGGAGGAGCGAAGCTGGTGCCGCTTACTGGGGGAGTGACGAGGATCTTGTTCGAGACACTGGTTTCGCACTGGAGTCGGATTTAAACGTAGGTCCTCGTGTAAGCATCACTAGTCGTCTTCCTCCGTAAATTTGCTAAATGCTAACTAGGATCGCCCACCTTCCCGCCAGCCGTCGAGCATGTCGAACATCTCCAAGAAATCCGCCTCTCCGACATCAGGACCCACCCGCCACTTCGCTGCTCTAGCAAACCAACCCCGCGCCCGAAGTAATACAGTAAATAATGGCAATAACGGCACTCGCAACATTAGTCCAACCCTTAGGGCCCCTCCAGCACACTCCACCTCTGCGAGCGTTAGAGCATCAAACTGGGGATTCCCTCTCACAAGCAACGGGTTAGTGCTCGATACGTCACAGGGGGTTGCCGTGACCACAATCGAGACGCATTACTCTCCTGCTGAGGTGGGGATTCCTGGGGGTGCTGATCAGGCATTTGAGCTGGGACCAGTCCCCGGGATCAGAGGTGCTAACGCCCAGATCAGCCCGAGACATAGCATTGGTGGTGGTATAATGTCCGAGCCTGAAGGCAGGATAAGCAACTCTTCTTCCCGCTCAACATCTAGTCGGGAAGGGAACCCGAACGAAAGAAGCACAACATCTGTGAGCTTTAGAGATGTTGGCGGGCTCTTGAAGTAGTCCGCTATATAATTCTATATTGGTTTGAATGTGTGTATATTTTTTTTAATCCCTCACCTTCGCTTCAATCTTCTCTATATATGGGAGATATACGTTTAGATGTGTGAACGAGAGTATGTCTGGGTTAATTGATTGAGTTTGGCTTCTTTTTCTTTTCTTTGGAAGGTCTAACAGTTAAAACCGGAGTTGAATTTGCACCTTATTACACCTACTTAATTACTATAGTACTCGTTCTTGTCCGCGCACAGATACCTAGCGCGGTAGATATATACATGTCCCGCTGCTCAAAATATATTTGTATATAATTCTAGCCACTTGGGTCTGGATAGGGAAATAAAGATATATTGATGATAAATTTGACAAAGGAAACCGGATATTACTTATCAAAAGTTCGTTGACATCATTCTGAAGCTTTCCAATGCAACCACCATCAGTTCTAAACAAAAGGAAGAAAGGAAAAGAAAGGCCTCGAGTGAGGTTACAGTGAAAGATATACAAGGATCCTGTCCTAACGAAGAATGAATGTACAGAGAACGTTAAACATTAGGTGTGCACCAATACATGTATCTTGACAACACAAAAACGAAGGGGCCGGCACCTGATAACTTATGTATATCCTATTTATTGGTTGCACCTTAGGTCTAGCAGGAGCAAAGTCGAGATTACAATCTATTTAGGAGTAAATCCGGTAGCGGCTTCGACAATGCTTCTGATCTGTGCTTCGGTAGAAGCTCCCTTGACTCGGCCGACTTGTTGGTCATATCTGCCAATGATGTTAGGGACTGGAGAATAGTTACACTTCAAGTACAATCCCATTCCGTGGGAACCACAGTTCCTCACAGCGCATCCAAAGGACTTGACATCTTTCCAAACCATAGCAGTCATATGACCAATAACACCATCGCTGTTGCTTGGGTTGTCGAAGTTATAGTTAACGACCTCGTTCGCGTACCATTGACGGAGAGCCTGGTCTTCAGGGTTGGCATTGGTGTTATAGGAAATATTTTCACCAAGCCCCTTACGTTGAGCAGATGGGGTGTGTTGGAAATCACAGTTTGGAGTATTCTCTTCGGCGAGTTTGGCGATACTAGAATCCCAGGTGATCGAGCCGGTGCCCTCGTGAAGGGCGCGAACGATGTTATGGGCGGCAAGGAGATAGGGCTTGATAGCAGATTCAGACATGAAGGTGCCGTCTGGGCCAACATTGCGGACCGAGGAACCCCTCTCAAGTCCAGTGGAAGAACCCGCTGGCATGGTTAGATAGGTCGTTGGGGTATCAGTGGTGGTATCATCCTCATATGATGGGCTGTTGCTGGGACTGGGGCTAGGACTTTGATATCCAGAGTTTCCACCTGTGGAAGTTTCATCATCCGTCGTGGTTGTGCTATTATTTCCCGATCCACCGTTCTTTCGGCCGCCACGGTTCCTGCGGCCGCCATACTCATTAGATGTAGTGTAGGTATTCTTTGCTGGGCGGGATGTTTCGCCCTGTGGTGCTGTATAGCCAGTAGGAATTTCAGAACCGGCTGGGGACGGGGCCTCTTCATACGACGCTATAGTTGGAGTACTGGTGTAGGAATCGAGAGTGCTAGTTGAGACGTAGTTCCCGTTGCCTCGGTTTTTACCCTTGTTGCACTGTCTACGTTTATGGAGGAGAGCAGAGGAACGCTTGGAAATGTCCCTTTCATACTTGACGGTGCTACTTTTCCCTTCAGCTTGCTGAACAGGGGCCGCTAGGGCAGAGGTGACAATAAGTCCAACAGAGACGATAGTTGAGAACCGCATTTTGTGTTTTTACAGCAACTTTGGGGTGAGGCGATGGAGGGAGGTTGATGAATACAGGACAATGCAATGAACGTTATACGTTGAGCCAACCAGGGCAAAAGGAATGGAGTCGTGAAAAAAGAAAGAAAAGCGAGAGAAAATCAAGACAATAGAGGCCGATGGATAGAGGGAAAGACCACACTCCGGGTGGGTAGGATGAGTTGGTAGAGAGGATGAGGTGAGTTTGAATGCGCCTGGCGAACTGAAGAGGAAAGCCTTATGATGTGGGGAATTGAGCACCAATTTATATTTCATTATATTCCAGTATCATCCCGAGTCCTGCAGTAGCTAAGACCGGAGGCGGTTCGGTAAATTCAGAGAAGTTGCTTTAGCGGAAGTCAGCTGCGTCCTTACAGGCGGCTATGGAAGCACGGACGTTTCCACGAGGCTAAATTTGTTCGGTATCTAGAGTTTCAATGGCATCCATTTTGGGAAAGGCCCGATTACGGCATATCGACGTTAGATGTTGGGTTGAAAATAGGACGACTAGGCGTAGATCTTTCTCAGAGAACGCGATAATAGGAGGAGGGTAAGACCGAAGGGAAGGGTGCATTGCTACCTTAGAATAGGGGTAAACCTAAGCACGCTCCCCGAGCGTAATCCTTTGTTGGGATCTATCCAATATTGGCCTTTTTCGTAGACGACTATGGCTCCAACCGTTTCGTGTATCGCCCACTGCGGCAAGGCTATACCCCTTGGCGAATATACGAACGACCTTTGGTGCTTCTAGAGCTTGCCTAGAAATGTTCCAAGGAAGGAATTAACGGGCGAAGATGCCCACGAGTTAGTGTCATTGGTGCTTCTTGACTGCATAATCGCTTAACGATAACTTGATTCTCACGATATCTATGCCGCAATTGGCCTTCTCGTTTGCCGGCTCGGTGAGACTAGGAACCGCTGCAGGAACCGTCGCTTTCCAGCGCCTTCCTGTTTCGTCAAACTCTGGAACGAAGATGTGGCTCGCCCTTGTTGGAGTTCTTGCGTTGCCGTCCTATGCTACAACGTACACCATTCTCCCCTAACCCTCTTTTGTCCTTTCTCCAAACAATACCCACTTCGTTAATTCTATGTTCTCCACATTTCCAACCGATTCTAGACTACAATTCAACGATTCGTTTCACGATACGACTCTCGAAGTTGGGCGTGGTCACGTCGATCTGAGAGAGACCTCAGCACTGAGAATACGTTGCGTTTTTGTGCTCAAACATCCAAGTATCCCACCTAACAGCTGTTGTCATGGTGCGCCCCTTATTATTTAGCTAACATGAATTAGTAGTTGCTCGTAGTTAGATCAATGTTGCTGCCAGTGAGCTATTTTTCTTTTGGTAAATTTACTCCCGGGCTAAATTATTAAGGTATTCTCTAGACCTAGGCTTAGAGGAGTGTAATTATAACAATTTATCTTCAGAGCGTCGAGGACCAACTAGGTCCAAATATGGGCTGTCGTGAGAAGTATACAGGGAAGTGAGCTACAATACAAAAAGGAGGAATACATGAAAAAACAAGAGAAACAAGAAGAAAAAAATAGAGGCTTTCAGAGTTATCTACACCCGAGAAATAAAGAGGTCTAATTTACCAGCATCCGCCTTTGTGAATATAACGTCTACGCAGTGGTGTGAACCTGCAAACGGACCCGAAATCTCGACAGCACCCACCACATACGTATGTATATATGATGAGACGAGATGACATTTAAACTATACTGTAATAGCGATGCATCTATTAGAAAAAAAGACCTTTTTTTCGCCATTTGACTAATTTCTATTGTTTTCTCACAATATGTTGACCCAAATTTAAAATCCGATATCAAAATACAAGCGTTTGTGGTTTAGTGGTAAAATCCATCGTTGCCATGTCTAGTTCTTCCAGAATTAGCCAGTGTCGATGGGCCCCGGGTTCGATTCCCGGCGGACGCATTACAATTTCTTCTTTTTTTTTTGCTCCTTCTTTGTTGTTGTTGTTGCTGGAAACTTAGAGCGTCGACGGTTAAATTCCCTTTTTCAAATTTTTTCTAGTTCTATTTTGTGCTCTTGTGAACCTCCTTGGTGGTCTCGAAACCGCTTCGGCTCAGATGTAGGTTCAAATCTAGCAACGCAATGCTACGCTCGTCCCTCAGCTTCCTCAGTCTTGCAGAACCTTCTTGTGTTAGGCTTACTAGAGCTTCCAGTATTTTTTTACTATGCCCTGGTTATATTTGCCTGTAATTTTCCACCATCCTTTTTTTTCTTTTTTTCTGCCAGAACAACCACAAAACCGTGAGACTCTCTGATCTCGCGAGCGGTACACTTCCTCTACCTTATAATACTAGGCAGCCTGTGTGAGACCTAGTAGATTATGTGTTGAACTTGTGGTATTTTCCCATTCACAGATCTTCGTGACACAACCACGATTTGATTCCGAGGCGAGGCCGAGCTACGAGACTAGGTTTGAGTAACCGTAGATCGTTTGGCACAAGTCACAACGCAAGAAGTCTTCATCCAGCAGGCCTGGTAGACCGGTAGCCTCGAATCCAGGCGCTTGAGGCAGGGTCATCATCCAGGGCAGGCCAGGGCACACATATCTGCATATGTATGTATCATAATTACCATCCGGGGTGTTGACGAAGTGGCAGATAGATCCCAATCGCTGGTTATACTAACCTTGATCAATTGAGCGCCGTTGTTTGTCTGCGTGCCTAGGCTTATTCGGTTCTTAGGGACTCTCCCGATCGACAGAGATCTGTGGATTGAAACTCGTTTAGCCGGCCGGTTATTTAGCACGTGTGGCTCGGTTCCAAACTTTTATCTTAGAAGAAAGCCTCACAAAGATTCCACCAATGAAGGTTTGAGTATGTTTTCTTTCTATGTAGGTCAAGGTAAATCGATGGCCTGATGTTAGGAACCATCATTACCTTCTTCTGGTGAAGTTCAATTTGATTTAGCCGATATGCTAGAATTGCAACAGTCAACCACCAATTCTGTGAGAAACATTGAAACCATGGAACCTGCATTTAGCCGGAATTCAAGTAAGGGGTCTCCACACTTATCCCCGCATTCCGTAAATTTTCGCTTCCTCGGCATATTCAAGCACTTTCTTTGGTAATAGGTCTAGGAATGATGTAACAAAGCTCTAGATAGGAGCTTGTACTTCGGATTTTCCTCTTCTATTGACGGAAAAACTGATGATAGATCGGCTTCCTGTTCAAAAGCCTATAAAGCTTGGCATTTGGATCCAACCGTTGGCATCCTGAAGCTTTTCATAGCTACGAGAGCTTGAACTGTGCTTATATCAAATGACTGAACAGCATTAGGTGGGGCTGACCCCATAAATCTCAAGCACTATGTTACAGGAGAGTTGCTGTTTTATTTCGCCGTCTCCGTTTCTATCCATCTTGCGATCGCTTATTCCCCGGAAATATTATTCACGCCGCTAAAGCTTCAACAATAGATCTCCACAATTCTGGGGTTTGGAGAAATGGAAATAGTTTCTGCGGCTGGGCAACCTCAAAACATGGGGCTCGTGCCTGAACCATGGTCGCGGGTTGTATTTAAGGAGCGATCAGGGACGAGATAATATTGTCTTTTGTTCGACAGGAGCGCCGGCCCATAGGAGAAACAACTGGTATTTCAAAGTTCCCTCTAGTCGATAGCAAAAATGGTTGCTATGAACTTGCTCTCGATCGCCCTTGCTACTCTTGCGGTAGCCCCTGCAGCTTTCGCTTCACCTCTTGAGGCAAACATCCTCGAAGCCCGGGGAAGGACTCACAATGGAAAGGAAACAACCGACAGACCCGTTGTTTTCCCCTACCCATTGAACACGGGAAAGAAGTTCAAGGAAACGCCAAAGACGACCAAAACTTGCTTTGTCGACGCACTTGGAAATGGACTCGACGACGGCCCCAACATTCTCGCTGCCGCGAAGAAATGCAACAATGGTGGCAAAATTGCGTTGCTCGATGATCTCTACATGGTCCGAACGCCTCTGGATCTGAAGCTCAATAAAGTTGATATCGAGCTTCAGGGAACTCTGAAGTTTGTTGACGATATTCCATTCTGGGAAAAGAACAGCTTCAAGTATGAGTTCCAGAACTCGTCATCGTTTATCCAAATCGGCGGGAAAGATGTCAATATCGTAGGTTTTTAAGACGATCGATCTAAAGCTTCTAAAAATTTAGCTAATTCTTTGATTAAACCTAGTACGGTGGTGGTACAATTGACGGCAACTCCCAGAAATGGATTGATGCACATGCAGCAAACAGTTGGACATGGAGGCCAGTATTGGTAACTTTCTTCGACCTCGACAACGCCTATATTAGCAATATCAATTTCCGCTATAGCGCCAATTGGTATATCCTTGTTCATACCTGCCAGAATATGATTTTCGACAATGTCAGCATCGCTGGCGGCAGCACCAGCAGCAATGAGCCAAAGAATACCGACGGCTGGGATACCTATCGATCCGACAATATCGTCATCCAACACTCGAAGATTGATAATCACGACGACTGTGTTTCTTTCAAGCCCAATTCAACAAATATTCTAGTACAAAGTCTCGACTGTAACGGATCACACGGTATCTCTGTTGGATCTCTAGGGCAGTACCCTAAGTACTACGATATCGTTGAGAATATTTATGTTTTCAATACTACTATGACGAACGCAACTAGCGCTGGAAGAATCAAAGTGTGGTCCGGTGAATATGCTAAACCACCATCTTGGGTCGAAGGCGGTGGTGGCGGTCACGGCCGTGTTTTCAATGTTGTAAGTGGCAATATCACTCCACTAGTTCGCATATATAAATATTTCGTGGCTTCTAACAATCTGATTGATGTAGACTTGGGACGCCATCCGCCTTAAGAACATCGATTACGCTATTGAAATTACTCAATGCTATGGTCAAAGTAACTTGACTCGATGTTCTGAAGTACCTGCTACTTTGAAGATTAGCAATGTCTTATTCCGTGGAATGTACGGAACTGCGAGCAAGAAATACGACCCTCGAGTTGGAAGTTTGGTCTGTGGCGGTCCCGAGAATTGCAACAACATTTATGCTCGAGATATCAATATCCAACCGCCAAGCGCAAAGAGCCCTACATTCACCTGCAGGAATATGGACCAATCGCTCCTCGATATCCCATGTGCTTGAAGTGTCTTTGTATAAAATTCGGAGCGTTCACTAAAACAATGTAATTTAATTTAAATTATAATTCTATTTTCACAGATATGAGCGCATGAATGAACCCCGGCGGGTTTTAGTTAAAAAAAAAAAAAAAAAAAAAAAAAAATAATTTAAATCCATTGCCGTGCAGTCGAAAAGAAATAAATAAAAAAAATAAATAAATAAACATAGACTGAATCGCTAATATTTACAGGTTCGTAGGCTCCAGTATGTGACCGAGGAGACACGATGGTTCAATCAGAACTCAAGCTGTCACGTCTCTAATATTGCATTCCCGTCCCTGCATATGTCCATCTGGGGTGTTTAACCTCATGCATAAAACCCAAATTAGACATCAGGGGATGATTTGGTTTTGAACGTGTGGCATCACCCGCTCTAGGATAGGGTCCGGATTTTGGAACCCGGTGGCGCACCATGGCGAAGGCGCCACTATCCATGCCACAACATTAATTCCAAATGGCTGGCCATGGGGTTCAATATCCAAGGAACTGACATGGGGCAGAACTGGCATTTTTTTCTTTCTTTCGATTCGTAGCGGCAATAGAATCGCAAAGGCCGTTGAAGATAGCTAAAGCTAGAAACGTCCTAACTTATCCCTAATACCAAGGCAATTATTGCTGTATTAAGCCAAATGGACACCATCAAGAATGAGTACTAAAGACGGCTAAGAATTGTCGTACTCGGGCATGGACTAGATGACTTGCCAAGAATTATAGCATCGAGAAACCAAATATTGATTAAGGAAGGTTTCCGTAGATGTACATACGTAGTGCACGTACATACCTACGTAACAACTCGATTTTTCGATGCCCAAATTTCGAAATTTACGTGTACGAGTACACCTTTTTTTTCAATTAACCTCCAACCTTACACGAGGATCTACACTGTCAGGCCTGAGTGTTCGGCATCCGCAGGTGGTATCACAACCTAGAAGCTCGGAGGCTCCACAGGCCCACTCGGGTTCAGGACCCTAGTCAAAATAGGTTAGCCACAAAGGGGCTTGTCATTTTTACCCTGTATCATTACAACAAAGTTTAAAAGAAGGGATCAAGCCGAGTACTCCAAGCTCTTGTATCCTAGGCTTATTGGTTCGATAGACGGCCAAGCGAGTGGTTCAGGATTTGACTTTGCTAGGTGACAAATAAAGTCTAGAAAATCATGTCCACGAACATATCCGGATGCTTCGTTGCCGCTGCTCCCCCTCCTGTCCTCAGAATCTGAAAAAAAAATTCTACACTCTTCCAGCCGCAAAGTGTGGAAAAACATTTCACTATCTCTATCAAGTCCTCCGAAGCGGTTCGGAAAGTGCAATGTATTTTCGGGCCGGGCTTTGACCAGGCGTTGCCAGCATGATGCAAGTCAAGCCAATAATTTGCTAAAATTCACCGTAACGCAGCGCGCTCGGTGGAAAGTATCCGCTGCTAAATGAGAGGCCAGCTCTGATAACGGCTCGGCGTGCAAACGCAGGCACGGCCTTTAACCTCAATTATGTTCAACTTGACAAAATAGGTAAGAGAACCAGGGTTGACGGCTGGCTCGCTATCAGAGGCCGTATGCAAAGTTCGGAATAATTGGGATGGCGGGCAAAATATGAGGGTATTTCGATTATGGAGCAGTGAAGAAGATAAACGTGACGGAAGTAGCTAGTAGCAACCTAATATTTTGGCGGAACTGGAGCATTCTAGTTAATTCTCTTTTTTTTTCTTTGAAAATAAAAATCGTAACCTCCATACATGAAATATTTGTATATACGATGCAA